TGTGTGTGTGTGTGTGTACTTGCAGACTGCATTAACAAGATAGGGCAACTTACAACATTCAGTGATTAAAATAATTTGACCATCATGGATTTCCTTAAGGTTTGGTGCCCTTCAAGTGTCCTCTAGTGTCACAGATCAGACACTGGGAGCCATCTTGCATTGATAACTTGAGATATCAAGATATTTGGTGAGCTGAGTCAGTTGTTAGAGCTGAGTCAGGTGTTAGATTACATCACCCTCTAGTGGTAAGAGTTCATTTTTCAAGGCAGGAATATTGGAATAGAAGTGAGTAACTAGGCAGCTCTGCTTTCCTAATGTATTTCTGACATCCTTGTTATTTTTGGCTCAGTGGCTGACCCATTCTCTACTGTACTACAGATCCTGACATAGTCTCACCTATGTTAGGTCTCTACCATTTTTCCATCTTAGACTAAATTTTTGTTAGAAACATGGAATCTCAAGGCGCTTCCCCTTTTTATTTTCAAGTAGTTGTAGATATTTCCTTCCTTGAGAACATTTCCTCATTTCTAATTTATTTGGTTACATTCTATTATATCACATCTACATTATATTATTGAATATAGACGTGGGGGAATCTTAGAGTAGGAGACTATTATCTAGAATTCCCATTGAAGAAAGTCAAGGCATAATCCACAGAGGTGATTGTGTTTAAAAAGAGTGATCATTGTGGTTAAAGGAACATCAGCCAGATCTAAAAGAACACTCTGGCAGCTTGTCTGATGGGCTGTTAGTCAAGCGAGTTTACTCTTCTAAGTTTACTCACAGGATAAGTGTAATTCTGCAGAGTTGTGTTGGCTCACATGTGAAACAATGTGGGGTACACAGAGCACTCCCACTCATTTCCGTGGGTAAACACCCCCTTTCTCCTTTTCAGGCTTGAGCATGGCACTGGCTACCTTCTTCATCCTAATCCAAACTGTACTCATCACACATGTTCATGTACAGCTTTGTGTTGTTGTCATCTGCTATATCTGATATCACGAGATGAAGAACTAACTGGTGAAGCTTAGTCTAGTCTGGGACTTTGCCCAGTTCCCTGTCCTCAATTTATTCATCCGTGGCTTTGAACAGGAAGCTTTCAGAAAAACAAGGTATGTTCAAATGCATTTATTCAACAAACTCATTTGCTAAACATTATAGTAGCCTTAACAGAATTCAAAATCTTCAATTTTAGCAAACCCCACTTTTTTGAATGAGGACAGGCTTTAGGCGTTTCCTGTAGAAGAGATTTAAGGAAAATAAATTAAGAGTCAGCTTGATGTTTAGTGGCACAAATAAATGACTATGCAATAATAGCAACGAAACTTAAAAATAATTCTGCCTTTCTTTAAAAGACAGGCTTATGATTTATTCTGTTTTTTCTTGTTCTAATCCATTTATTCACTCAATGTATTCATTAGATATCTGTTGCGTTCTTTATTATGTACACAAGGGATACAACAGAGTAGAAAAACTGTGGGTCACTGTTCTTTATAAGCCTAATGGAGTGTTACTGGGAACCCTTGAAATGAATCTCTAATCCACCTCTGCTTCTTTTACTGCTGATGCTGTACACTTAGTGACCAGCTGGCCATCTTATCCTTTGTCCAGGCTATGGCAGGGCTTTCTAGCTGTTAAACATTTCAGCTTAGAAGATGGGAGCTTGATTCTGACAGGCAATCTTGATTCCCATAATATCAACCAGTACAAGGTTTTCTTCTTTACATAAAAATGTTTCTGCTGTTTTCACGTTACCTTGACCAAGCCAGTTTCTCTCACAAAACCCAAATATCCTTTCAATTCTGAAATTGTTCCTTAGTTATAAGACTGTTTCTACAATTCTCTCTTTAGTCATTGTTATCTTGACCATACTGGCATGCAACCAATTTATTTATTTATTTTTTTATTGTTGAAGAAGAAGCAATACTCATCTATTTTCACAGATACATTTTTTGGATTCATTATTTCTTCATTTTAACATTAATGTTAACTTATGGTAGTGCCAAGTTCAATGTCATGGACATAAGCCCATTATCCACAGTTCTGATGTTCACTTTGGGACAATCCGTGCATTAGCCAAATTTAGTTGTTTCATCTTAAAAATTTAACCATGTTTAAACCTCAGAATCTCACTGTACTATCTATGTTTAAGAGCCAATGACTATTAGTCATGTATCGGCCCACACTGACAGAAACATTTCTAGCACCAACGAATGTTCAGTCAGTAGTTGCTTTTCTACAGAAAAGAATTATTGACAGTTTCTCTAAGAAAGCACAGAAGGCATATAATGTCCTGATTTAACAAACCTGCAACTCCTGATAATTACAAGACCCATCATAAGAAAGCCTTGTCTGGTGTTTTCAGAGCATCACAAACCCCAATATTTATGGTCAGATCCTGGCTCTGGTAATAGTTACAACATAGGTCATTTTTGTGGAACTTACTAAAATTTGCATTATAATTAAAATATAGTCACACCACTTCTCCCTTTTCTTTCTCCACACCCTCCAAGTTCCCTCCATCTCTTCATCCACTATTCACTTTCAAAGTGATAGATTCTTTTTCTTTGTTTCCTATTGTTATGTTTGTGTGCACAAATGTATAAATACAACCTGCTGAGTCCATTTTTGCTGTCTTATGGGCAATTTTAAAAAATATTATTAATTTTAGATCCAGACTGTCTGCAGTTTCCCTTTCTTTCTCTCTTCCAACATACTCTTCTCTGGCCCTCTCTGTCCAGTCTTCCATTTCTATTAAGAAGTGGATATTAGGCACAATATACAGGTACAATGTTATACTCCACAGACCCAAAGAAGCTAAACAGGAAAGACAGCCCAAGAAAAGAAGCATGAATAACATTTAGAAGAGGCAATAAAATAGTCATAAAAGGCAGATGGAAAGAGGGAACTGTGAGGGAGGGGGAATAGAAAGGAATGGGAGATTTGGGATCATGTGTGTAGAAGGACAGGAGAGATTGCTAGCTTCTCATGAAAATGAATGGAAATCTGCAATTGATGGGGGTGAGGAGGTGGGGGCACATCTCCAGGACAAGACAGAGAATTTGGATGTGCCCAAGAATCTGTGGCAGTGACTGTAGCTGTGCCTCATTACGTTGGGGATATGGAACCTGAAGAGGCCACATTCTGTAGCCAGGCAAGAACCCCAGTGGTGTGATAGAGACACCAACTCACTCTCAAAACATTCAACCCAAATTTAAAATATAATTTTTAAATTTGTCTACAATAATGCAGGCATGAAGGAGAGAGTAGGGATGAGGGAATGACCAACCAATAACGAGCCCAACTTGAGACCTATCCCATGGGCAAGCATCAATCACTTTCACTATTAATGATACTCTGTTATTCTTGCAGACAGAAGCAAGTTGTCCTCTGAGAAACTCCACCCAGCAGCTAACTTAGACAGATACAGACACCCACAGCCAAAGAGAGGATGGAGCTTGGGGACTATTATGGAAGAATAGGAGGAAGGATTATGGCCTGAAGGGGATAGGAACTGCACAGGAAGATCAACAGAGTCAACTAACAGGGACCTTCAGCTCTCTCAGAGTCTGAATCAGCAACCAGAAACCTTTCATGGGCTAGAATTAGGTCTCCCCGAAAATGTGTAGCAGATGTGCAGCTTGGTCTTCATATGCATCCCAAACAACCACAGCAAAAGCTATCCCAAAAGCTGATTGCTCCCTGTAGGTGGGATAAGTCCTTCTAGCTGGGCTGCCCTGCCTTGCCTCAATGGGAGAGAAAGCACATAACATCAAGGAGACTTGAAATGCTAGAGTTAGGGGATACCACAGGAAGACCCAGTTACTGAGAGGAGAGAGGGAAGGGGATGGGGGAAGGATTATAGGAGGGGGTGACTTAAAAGGGAACAGTGAACAGGATTTAAAATGAGTAAGTAAAGATCTTATATTAAATTAATTAAAAAAAAAAAGAAAGAGGAAAAGAAAAGGCCTTTCCTCCCATGGATAGCCAAACAAACATGGGAAATAGCACATCTCAGTAGAGGTAGGCACCTTTCTTGCATTGAGGATGAACAAAGAAACTCAGTATGAGAGAAAGCATCCCAGAAGCCAGCAAGAGAGTCAAAGACAACCCCTGCCCCCACTGTTAGGACTTTTACAAGAAGATCAAACTACACAGCTGTAACATATGCAGAGGGCTTATGTCAGTCCTATACAGGCTCCCTCGGTTGGTGGTTCAGTCTCTGTGAGCCCCTACCAGCCCAGGTTAGTTGATTCTCTGGGGTTTTGTGTGGTTTCCTTGACCCTTCTGGCTCCTACAATCCTTTCTACCCCCTTTCCTGAAGCTCTGCCTAATATTTGTCTGTGGGTCTGTGTTAGCATCTCTGATAGCAGTTGTGCTAGGCTCCTGTTTGCAAGTATAGCAGAATATCATTAGAAATCATTTTATTGACTTTTCCCCCAATCATGATTAATTCTATCCTAGGTCTCTGGACTATATAGCCTCTGTGTCTTGGGCTTCCAGGTCGTATCAGGGGTGGGCTCCTTGTTGGACTTTTAATGAGCAATAGAAACAAAGACACTATAGAAACCTTAGAATATCTCTTATGTTTGAGAAAGCCAAACTTATCTCTAGACCTAAGTGTTATTTCAGAACACAGAGTGAAACGCTGCATGCTCAGACAGTTGAATGTGCCTCTTACATCTATACCTATTTGAAAGAACACAAAGAACAAACTACAACCAGTAGGTTCAAAGCTCAGAGGAATGTGTGTTCAGCATTTTGCTTGTATTTTCCAAATGCTTCACTCTGAGTAGAGGCCTTTGAACATTAGACCTCACACTGGGATATTTTACAAGTCCCCAGGGTGTTGTGGGGCCCTTCTGCTCCCTGTGGATGGAAATAATGAAGCTTGACCTTAATATCAACAACATGGGCCATGAGAAAATTAACAATTGGTTTCAAGTATACATTTTCCAAAACGTTCACCTGCTTCTCCACACTTCCAGAGCCAGGGCCTAAACTGTTGGCCTAGATGGATAGGTCACTGAACAGACTAGCTTGGAATTCAGGTTTCTTCTGCCTGAGCCTGCAGTGTGGGAGAAACAGGCTTGTGCTATCATGCTGGGACTTTTACACACTGGACACACACTTGTTATAAAGCTGAATGTCTATTGTTTGGAGTCTACAATGTCTAAAGTCCTGGATAAACTAAGCGACTTTTCTGAAATCATTTAGAGCTATCCTTGAAGAGTGTCTGCATAATAGAAGAGAGATTTTTTCAGAAGAATAAAGACGATTTATAGTCACTTGAGCCTGAGCTGAAATTGTTAGCATAGGGTCAATTCTAGAAAAATCTAAGTGTTTTCTGTCACTTTTGAGGTCTCTGTTGTTTGTTTGAAATTCAGAGCCTTGTTTAAATGGCATTCTTTTCATTAAGCTTTTCTTGAACCTTTCAATTAGAGGATATTACCATCTTTGCTTTGGTTATGTAACACTTTACATTCTGTTGACAGTCACCACAACTTACAAGAATCGATTACATGTGCTCATGAGTGTTTTGTTTGTTTGCTTATTTGTTTGTACTTTTGTAACAGTCACATGGGAAACAAGGAAGGCTTACCATAATGACTGGCATATAGTAACTACTCAGTCATATTGTAAGACAAAATTCATTGTGACATATCTGTTTGTCTCAGTGTTCTGAATCTGATTCCTGTTCCCCAACATGAAATATTTCGGAAAATTATAGATTATTGAGGCTAATTTTCATAAATCATGAATACTAATGTTATAATATATATTTATTCACTAAATACTATATAAATCATACTTGCTAATTTGGAGCTGCATTAGAAAATGTAATTTTTGGTATTATCAAGAACTGATCTGTTTTTTTTTTAAAGATTAAAGGCATTTTGTATATGTAGAATCTTTTAAAATCTAAAATATCAATTCATTGCTTAAACAAATGGGGCTTTTATCATCCAAGCCATTTTAAATCATATTATCATACCAAGTTTATGAAAAGAAAGTTCTATTTATTGACTAGCCTTTAAGATGATTACACATATGAAATTGTAGTGATAAATAACTTAAAATTAAACTTCATCCTCACCTGTTTTCAAAGCACAGAATGCATTCATTGGAATACGTAGTATCATCAGTCCCACACACAGGGTCATAAACCTTGGGACATCCAGTAGTTGTAGCATCACAATTGGCCTAAACAAAGATTTAAGGAGTCATTTTCTATCATTTTTCAATGCTTGGTTTTATAATAAAATATTAAGACTGTTTTAAGATTTTTAGAGTTAAGATAATGATACTGGGTATTGTACAGGAAAACAACCACAATAGAAATAAATCTGCCATGAAATCAAAAAAGCTGAATTAAAGCCAAATTATGGTCCTTTCCTAGTTATATGAAGATCATGGGTCTACCAGTTCCTTCCTTGATTTCAGCAAATTCATCTGTAAGTTAGAAGACATTATCATTTCCCCACTTAAGGCATGATGCTGTGGAGATGTGGGATAAGAAGAGGAAGATAACACCAGCTGCTGACAAGATAGTCATCCTAGATGGCATCTGTGCTTGGAGTTTTTGGTTTGTGATTTCCAGTAAAATCTGACTCTCATTAGACACTTCCTATAGGTCTCTGTGTTATATTTTATGTATTGTTCTATTGGAAAAGTCTCACCCTTTAATCAAAACTGTCAGCTATCCTTTTATTGATCTCTCTTTAAAAGACCTTGTAAAGTTATCATTACACTCCTCTTCAAGGGAAGATTCATGAAGTGACAAATTGACTTAAAGTCACATATCTAGTGATCCTTAGATCCTGGTTCTCAGTTCCTGGGCATTACCACATCACCATTTATTACAGGCCATCATCCCTGTTTTGCTAACTTTTATTTTTCATAGATCTGTACTTGGCGAACTAGATTTGGGTTCTAACGGGCCCAGATTTGTTCTGTAATGCTTACCAAATAATCACTAGTTTTCTCCTAGGTAATGAGGTGAGGGGCATTTCCTCTAGTCTACTTTGGGAATTAGGAGCAATAAAAGCCAACATGATCAAGTCAGAAGTAAGAGCTACTTGGAATAAACACAAAAGCTTTCACATAAGCTATGTGTCCCACCTGCCAACCCTAGTGTTTATATAAAAGTCTCCTTTACAGCAGGATGTAGAGAGTTACAGGGGCATCAGTGGGCTCGTCTTTCAATACAGCATCATGTAGACTGGGAAAGTATTATGTATCCTGCATTTAGCACCTGAGTTTCCCTACCAGTTGAACCCCCAATCCTGACTTGAATTACCAAAAATGTAACTGCTAGAGTATACATTCCCCAACCTTCTTCATGTCAAGGTCTTACTGTGTAGTCCCACCTGACTTCAAACCTGGTTCATAAACCAGGCTCCCAAGTGCTTTGGATTGCAAATGTGCAAAACCATGCATGCTCAGATCCTAGCTGTACATTTACATATCAAACAATTTAAGTCTGCATAGGAAATTAGAGAATTAAGAAATTATAAAGTAGCTGGGTGGCAGTGGTGTGTGGCTTTAATCCCAGCATTCGGGAGGGAGAGTTAGGCAGATCTCTTGGAGTTTGAGGGCAGCCTTGTCTACTGAGTGAGTTTCTGGAGGAGAAGGACTACACAGAGAAATCATCTCTCAATCCCTCCCAATGGGGTTATAAATTATAATATAAAATTCTCTTTACCTTTCTTACAGTCACTGTAGCTGTAGTGTTACCTAGAAAACATAAATCAAAAATCAATCTGGATCTCAAATAAAGAAGCCAGACCTATTGTTAGTTGTCAAAGAATATAATTTTCATATGATGCCTCTGCTTGTACTGTCCACTTCCCAAATCTTTTATTTACGTTTGACTTTCAAGGACACCGGATGAGTTTTCTTCCCTATCTGCCTGCTAAGATTTTGAAAAGAATTAAGTAAAATGTTGATTGTTACTGAGTATTTTGATTTGGCATTTCAGGAAATTTGATCTACTTTCTTGAGACTAGAAATTATCTACTCAGAATTTGACATGTGTAGGTATTAGTAACAATTCAGATACTTTTGCCATGTCCATCAATGATCTTTCTGTACCCAATAGAATTTTCACTCTCAGTCTGCGAATATTAAATATCTGTACCTCAGGATATTTGTGGCGTATGGGAAATAGCCATCAGGTCTTCTGATGTAATTAAGTTCCTTCTGTAAACAATGTTAAAAATAGGACTTTTCTGACAACTCACCACCAGTTCTCAAAGAGAATTTTTCCCACAGGTGCATTACACCAACTGACCATATTTTAAACTTGTATTTCATCCAATTACATAGTTCAGAACAGACTCAATTCATTCTTCAGAAAACATGTCTTGCAGACATGAAAGCATATGATACACATACTCATATGTAACAACAATTAAAGAAAACTGAACTAGAAAGAGAATAAGAAAGTACGTGGGAGGATTTGGCAGATAATTATAAGGAAAAATGATGTAATTTTATTTCAAAGTGAAAAAGATTATTTTTTTAAAAAGTAGATAGGTGTTAAATTTGAATGTGAATGAGTTTGCAAGGGAAAAGAACCCAATCTGATAGCCACTAAAGTAGAAATGTTTCCAAAACTTAATTTTCAGTCAGGGATCTCTGAGGGAAAAGAAAGATCTCTGGGACTCATCAAAGAAGATGCAGCTTTTGGTGTCCCCTTGGATCCAGAATGTAAATGAGGCTAAAAAAAATTAATGAGCAGAAGCTCACTACAGGTATATAGTTGTATTCACTATAGGGCATGAGGTGGGACAAAGGGGCTCTTGCTTCCATGAATATTTATCTGAAACAATAAGCGGTGATCTTCCACTTCTTAACGAAGCACAGCTTTGTCTTTTGTCAAAATCTCTGCAATGAGTGACAGAAGTGGAAATATTAATTAATGCCAGTTACAAAAACCAAGCTGACTTCAGAATCAGAAGCATATCCTGAATCAGAATATTCTCAGAATCAGAAGCATTCTCACAAGTTTGGGGATTCCTTCCTATGTTCAAACTGGATGTTTTTTACACATCAAACATAAAATATTTAATGACTCAAAATATGACTTTTCTGCAAAATAAGTGGTGGTCATTATTGTTTATTTTATGCAAGTTTATAAGAATTTAAATTTTGCAAGTCGGCATTGGATTTACATAGTCTAGCAACCATTTCTACAGTTAAAAGGGTATTTTAGATCAAAACCCTTTCCTTGCCACCAAATCCCTAATGTAGTAGCAGCCTTGTCTTTAGAGTAAGGCATGACTGTCTCTGGGGATGTCTTATTGGAACTTTCCTCCATTGTTTTAGCAATAACCTTCATCCTCCCCCATTATTTGCAGTAGAAACATTTCTGTTATTCACCTCATTGGCATCAGTTAGCTAGACTATCTTAGTTTACAGGAGGTATAAATTAACAAGTAAAATTTTAAACTAATATTTGAAGAATATGCAAACAGACATACCTGCTAAAATGAGCAAGGCCAAGGCACTGAGAAGAAAGATAGTTGCCACCTTCATGATTGAAGATCTGGTTGCAAAAGTTAGAAGAACTATGTAGGGTCCTACTCTTCTGAAACTGAGGAGTGGTCATATAGGTAGATGGTAATACAGGCTCCACCCACTGTGCCCTGTAATAGGTATCTTTGGTTATTGATTGACTTGTGTGGCCTCCAGGCTGGGGATAATGTTACCTAGGTAGATAAAAGAGCAGAAAAGATTGGACCCACATTCTGCCAGGAAAAGCAAATTAGCCGGGTTCCTGATATCCTCTCAGGTTTTGGGAAAGCCTCCTCCCTTCCTATCTTTTTTCCTAGTTTAAATATTTTATTAACATTGATATTTATAAGATTTACAACATAAAAGGAACATATTGTTTTAAGTGCAGATTAAAAAACACAGATATTCATACACTGGTTACCTGTCTTTTATGTAATTTTTTCTTGAAATTTGTCTTATTTTTTTATTGGATGTTTTACTTCCATTTCTTTTTTTTTTATTGGATGTTTTATTTACATTTCCTATGTTGTCCCCTTACCCCATCCCCCACCCACCCCAGAACCCCCAATCCCCTCGCCCCTCCTCCTTCTTCTCTGTGGATGTAACCTCTATCTACTCCCCCCCACTCCCACCTCCCCACCCTCAAAATTCCCACCCCCTGGGGCATCCAGCCTTCATGAGGTCAAGGTTCTCTTCTTCCACCTATGCCCAGCAGGGCCCTCCACTCTTACATATTCAGTTGAAGCCCTGGATCGCCCCCCTAAGTGCTCCCAGGCTGGTGGTTTAGACCCTGGGAGCTGTGGTTGGTTGGTATTATTGTTCTGCTCATGGTGCCGCAAATCCTTCCAGCTCCTTCAGTCTTCACTCTAACTCCTCCATTGGGAACCCCATGATCAGTTCAATGGCAAGTTGTCAGCATCTGCCTCTGAGTATGTCAGAATCTTGAAGACCTCTGAGGAGACATCCATATCAGGCTCTTATCAGCATGCACTTCCTGACTTCCACATCAGCATCTACCTTTGGTGACTGCACATGGGATGGATACTCAGGTGGAATGGTCTTCAGAAGGCCCCTCCTTCAGTTTCTGTCCCTCACTTTGTGTCCATATTTGCTCTTTTGAGTATTTTGTTGCTTCTTCTAAGAAGAACCGAATCACCCCGACTTGTTCTTCCTTCTTCATGAGCTTCATGTGGCCTGAGTTGAATTTTGGGTATTTCAATCTTCTGGGTTAATATCCAATAATCAGTGAGTGAATACCATGTGTGTTCTTTTGTCATTGGCTTACCTCACTCAGGATGATATTTTCTAGTTCCATCCATTTACCTAGGAATATCAGGAATTGATTGTTTTTAATAGCTGAGTAATACTCCTTTGTGTAAATGTACCACATTTTTTGTATCCATTCCTCAGTTGAAGGTCATTTGGGTTCTTTCCAGCTTCTGGCTATTATAAATAAGGCTGCTATGATCATAGTTGAACATGTGTTCTTGTTGTATGTTAGAGCATCTTCTGGATATATGCCTAGGAATGGTATAACTGGATCCTCAGGTAATGCTATGTCCAATTTTCTGAGGAGCCATCAGACTGATTTCCAAAGTGGTTGCACCATCTTGCAGTCCCACAAACAATGGAGGAGTGTTCCTGTTTCTTCCCATCCTTGCCACCATCTACTATCATCTGAGTTTTTAATCTTAGCCATTCTGACTGGTGTGAGATGGAATCTCAGGGTTGTTTTGATTTGCATTTTCCTGATGAATAAGGATGCTGAACATTTCTTCAGGTGCTTCTTGGCCATTTGAGTTTCTTCTGTTGAAAATTCTTTGTTAAGCTCTATACCCCAGTTTTTAATAGGGTTATTTGTTTTTCTGGAGTCTAATTTCTTGAGTTCTTTGTATATATTGGATATTAGCCCTCTATCAGATATAGGATTGGTAAAGATCTTTTCCCAATTTGTTGGTTGTCATTTTGTCCTATATGTCCTTTGCCTTACAGAAACTTTGCAATTTCATGAAGTCCCATTTGTCAATTCTTGATCTTAAAGCATATGCCATTGGTGTTCTGTTCAGGAACTTTTCCTCTGTGCCCAAGTATTCAAGGTTCTTCCTAACTTTCTCTTCTATTAGTTTCAATGTATCTGGTTTTATGTGGCGGTCCTTTATCCATTTAGACTTGAGTTTTGTACAAGGACATAAGAATGGATCAATTTTCATTCTTCTACATGTTGTCCTCCAGTTGAACCAGCACCATTTGTTGAAAATGCTGTCCTTTTTCCACTGGATGGTTTTAGCTCCTTTGTCAAAGATCAAGTGACCATAGGTGTGTGGGTTCATTTCTGTGTCTTCAATTCTATTCCATTGATCTTCCTGCCTGTCTCTGTACCAATACCATGTAGTTTTTATCACTATTGCTCTGTAGTACAGCTTGAGGTTAGGGATGGTAATTTATTGTTGAGAATAGTTTTCGATATCCTGGGTCTTTTGTTATACCAAATGAATTAGAGAATTTCCTTTTCTAACTCTGTGAAGAATTGAGTTGGGATTTTAATGGTGATTGCATTGAATCTGTAGATTGCTTTTGGCAAGATGGCCATTTTTATTATATTAATCCTTCCAATCGATGAGCTTGGGAGATCTTTCCATCTTCTGAGATCTTCTTTGGTTTCTTTCTTCAGGGATTTGACGTTCTTGTCATACATGTCTTTCACTTGCTTGGTTAGATTCACACCAAGGTATTTTATATTATTTGCGACTATTATGAAGGGTGTCATTTCCCTAATTTCTTTTTCAGTCTGTTTATCTTTCATGTAGAGGAAGGCTACTGATTTGTTTGAGTTGATTTTATAACCAGCCACTTTCCTGAAGTTGTTTATCAGGTTTAGGAGTTCTCTGGTGGAAGTTTTGGGGTCACTTAAGTATACTATCATATCACCTGCAAATAGTGATATTTTCACTTCTTCCTTTCCTATTTGTAAACTTTTCACTTCTTTTTGTTGTCTAATTGCTCTGGCTAGGACTTCCAGTACAATATTGAATATATAGTGGGATAGTGGGCAGTCTTGTCTAGTCCGTGATCTTAGTGGGATTGCTTCAAGTTTCTCTCCATTTAGTTTGATGTTGGCTACTGGTTTGCTGCAAATTGCTTTTACTATATTTAGGTATGGGCCTTGAATTGCTCATCTTTCCAAGCCTTTTATCATGAAGGATGTTGAATTTTGTCAAATGCTTTCTCAGCATCTACTGAGATGATCATGTGGTTTTTTTTCTTTGAGTTTGTTTATATAGTGGAATATGTTGATGCATTTCTGAATATTGAACCATCCCTGCATTCCTGGGATAATCATTGATCATGATGGATGATTGTTTTGATGTGGTCTTGGATTCGGTTTGCTAGAATTTTATTGAGTATTTTTGCATCGATATTCATAAGGGGGATTGGTCTGAAGTTCTCTTTCTTTGTTGGGTCTTTGTGAGGTTTGGGTATGAGTGTAATTGTAGCTTCATAGAACGAATTATGTAGTGTTCCTTCTGTTTCTATTTTGTGGAATAGTTTGTAGAGAATTGGTATTAGGTCTTCCTTGAAGATCTGATAGTATTCTGCACTAAAACCATCTGGTCTTGGGCATTTTTTGTTGGGGAGACTTTTAATGACTGCTGCTATTTCCTTAGGTGTTATGGGACTGTTTAAATGGTTTATCTGCTCCTGATTTAACTTTGGTACCTGTTATCTGTCTAGGAAGTTGTCCATTTCATCCAGGTTTTCCAATTTTGTTGAGCATAGCCCTTTGCAGTAGGACCTGATGATTTTTTAATTTCCTCAGTTTCTGTTGTTATGTCTCCCTTTTCAGTTCTGATTTTATTAATTTGCATACTGTCTTTGTGCCCTCTGGTTAACCTGGCTAAGAGTTTATCTACCTTGTTGATTTTCTCAAAGAACCAGCTCCTGGTTTTGTTGATATTTTGTATTGTTCTTTCTGTTTCTATTTGGTTGATTTCAGCCCTGAGTTTGATTATTTCCTGCCTTCTACTACTCTTGGGTGTATTTGGTTCTTTTTGTTCTAGAGCTTTTAGTTGTGCTGTCAACTTGTTAGTGTGTGCTCGCTCCAGTTTCTTTTTGTAGGCACTTAGAGCTATGAGTTTTCCTCTTAGCACTGCCTTCATTGAGTCCCACAAGTTTTGGTATGATGTATCCTCATTTACATTAAATTCTAAAAAGTCTTTAATTTCTTTCTTTATTTCTTCCTTGACCAAGTCATCATTGAGTAGAGAGTTGTTCAGTTTCCATGTGCATGTGGGCTTTCTATTGGTTTTGTCATTATTAAAGACCAGGTGATCTGATAAGTCCGTGGTGATCTGATAAGATGCAAGGGATTATTTCAATCTTTTTGTATCTGTAGAGGCCTGTTTTGTGGTCAATTATATGGTCTATTTTGGATAAGGTATCATGAGTTGTTGAGAAAAAGGTATATTCTTTTGTTTTAGGATAAAATGTTCTATAGATGTCTGTTAAGTCCGTTTGGTTCATAGCTTCTGTTAATTTCAAAGTGTCTCAGTTTAGTTTCTGTTTCCATGATCTGTCCATTGCTGAGAGTGGGGAGTTGAAATGCCCTACTATTGTTGTGTGATGTGTAATGTGTGTTTTGAGCTTTAGTAAAGTTTCTTTTATGTATGTAGGTGCCCTTGCATTTGGAGCATAGATGTTCAGAATTGAGAGTTCACCTTGGTAGATTTTTCCTTTGATGAGTATGAAGTGTCCTTCCTTATCATTTTTGATTACTTTTGGATGAAAGTCAATTTTATTTGATATTAAAATAGCTACTCCAGCTTGTTTCTTGGGTCCATTTGCTTGGAAAATTGTCTTCCATCCTCTTATTCTGTGGGAGTTTCTGTCTTTGTCACTGAGGTGCGTTTCTTGTATACAGCGAAATTCTGGGTCCTGTTTGTGTATCCAGTCTGATAGTCTGTGTCTTTTTATTGGGGAATTGAGTCCATTGATGTTAAGAGATATTAGGGAAAAATGATTGTGGCTTCCTGTCATTTTTGATATTAGAAGTAGA